GGTGAATGCCACAAATTCTCCTAAATCACTCGTACGCACAACTTAAGAACAAATCTGTGCGTACGAACGGTTCTTGCATGAGGCCCAATGTTCTGGAAACAACATTTTCCAGCCCTTTGATCAGCATTTTACTAAATTCTCGGGATTAATAAAACAACATGAAATCAGTATTTTTGACAGTAGAACATTGAAAACCTGAACTTTAACTGAGATCATAATTAAAACTTCCAGTATTCGTATTTTGTTTTCTGTTTTCACTTTCATCGCAAAATATCCTCTGTACCATATAACACTTCATGTAAAGCAGGCTGAGAAACACAGAACAAGTTACCTTCATAAACTTTAGTAACTACAGACTACAGACTAAATCTGTACTCTGATAAAAATGTTATAAAATATTTTTATTATCCCCCAATAGTGGCGCCCCCTAGATGGACGGTGCCCTTAGCATTTGCCTGTACTGCCTATTAGACGGACAGGCCCTGCTTGAAAACATTAAATTTCAGTTTTGCATAACTTTGAAGTTTGGCTCTGATGTTGGTGCAACGCAGGTGCGCTTAATCCAGGTGGAAACATTTGCATTCAAGAGCGAGAACAACCTCTGGTCAATATTTTAACACGCTCCACTGATCTTTATGCAAACCGTGACACGGTTTTGTTTACTTAAGTTGCTGAAAAAAATAGGTGGTGATGAGGTCAGTTTTTTCCCCCTTCATTCCAGATGGTCATTCCTGGTGATGCTGCTGAAATGACAGAGTTCCAGGAGAAAACGATGAACAACTCTCGATTCGTTCTTGAGCTGTGTTTGCCTAATGTCCAGCTGGCACTGCCCAGCAAACCTTTCTATGAAAAACTACACAACAGGTATATAACCAGTTATTAAAACTAGTCCTGATTTTAATGAATTGTTCCTTATTTGTTGTTTTCAAGGGTGACATTGGGCTTTCTCAAACAAAACATGTTATTGCAATACATACAGTTAAAAAAATATTTATATGTAAATAAAACCTCCATATTTTAGGATAAACAACGACCTTATGTTGTGGGAGCCCACAGCTCCATCCCCAGTTGAGATTGTAGARAGCATGCCTTATGGAGTTGGACTCTCTGTTGCCAGTCAGCTGATCAACACTTACACAAAGGACAGCTTTATCCAGTTTCGCTCTACTGGCCCCGATGGTGAGACGATCATTTTGTATTAAATTCCAGTTTCTGTTGTGAGATTTTGCTCCTTAACCCCAATACATACCCAGTTTCAGTGAAGTTGAGACRTTGTGTAAAACATAAATAAAAACAGAATACAGTGATTTGCAAATATTTTTCAAGATTTATTCAGTTGAATACACTACAAAGACAAGATATTTAATGTTCAAACAGATAAACTTTATTGAAATATTCACTCATTTTGAATTTGATGCCTGTGAGATGTTCGAAAACATCTGGGACAGGGGTAACAAAAGACGGAAAGTTGAGTAATTTTCATAAAAACACCTGTTTGGAGCATTCCCCGGGTGAACAGGTTAATTGGAAACAGATTAGTGTCATGATTGGGTATATACAGTATATGGGGTTCTGCTCCTTTTCATTTGACTACGTTGTGATTGTGTTTTTGACTGAATAATGTTGTATTATTTGTTTGTTTCTATTATTATTTGTTTGTTCTTTTATTTGTTTCTTTTATTATTATTTATTGAATTAAATAAAGTTCTATCTATCTATAATGGGAGTATCCCTGAAAGGCTTAGTCGTTCACAAATAAGGATGGGGCGAAGTTCACCGCTTTATGAACAACTGCGTGAGCGAATAGCCCGACAGTTCAAGAACAATGTTTCTCAACATAAAAGTGTCCGTGGCATGGGCAACTTAGACATCTGTGAAGATACCATGAAAGCTGAAGTGATGTAACACAGTGGTAAACATGACCCTGTCTCATGGCTTCATATTCAAAATGAGTGAGTATTTGCAAAAAACAATAAAGTTTGTCAGTTTGAATATTAAATATCTTGTTTTTGCTGTGTATTCAGTTGAATATAGGTTAAAAAGGATTTGCAAATCACCATATTCTGTTTTTATTCGTGTTTTACCCAACGTCCCAACTTCATTGGAATTGGGGTTGTAGAAATAAGTTGCATCTTTGTTGTAGAGGAGACCAGTGGCTCCGATGAGGAGAATATGAACTACTACTCTCCTGCCTCTGACCTGGGCTTCAGATCTCAAAAGAAGAAAAAACAAAAAGCTCACAGCAAGACATCCCAGAGTCTTTTCTCTGTTATTCTCAGTGTAAAACACGGCCTGGTGGCTCTGCAGACAAACTCTAAGGTTGTATTATTGATGACCCTTAAAAAAAAAATAAAAATTTTAGCAAATTATGTCACGTGAACTGTGTATGAGTTTTCTTCTTTTTGTTCCTATTTATTCCAGCAGGAGGACAAAACCATACTGAAAAACAAACACGGCGAGTTCTGGCTGGAGGTGAAAAATGGCGTTTTGTTCAGCGTCACTCAGTACGAAGGCTATAAAGACCAACACTACGTCTGCTTCCAYACCAGCAGTGTTTGCCTGCATCATCAAGGTGAACCTTCTGCACTCAATGCAATTCTTTTTTTTTTGTCAGCACATATTACTTGTATGTCTTTGACGCTGTGCGATATTTATTTCCGATCTCAGGACTCGTAGACGGGGGCAGCTCCATCTCAGACATCAAGCTGCCGTGCAGGACACCTCCCCACTGGCTGGAGCCAAGCATCTACCAATCAGAGGCGTCTTCAGAAAAATCCTCAACGCCCTCTGAGGGCATCGGCCTGGAGGCTCGCAGCATGGTGTCCGTCGCTGTCAAAATCTCATCTCAGAGTGCGGAGCGCAACATCAAGGTCAGATATTTAAAACCAATCTGTGGCAGATTGTCGGTAAAAATGGGTTTTATTTCTAACGAGAGGTTTTGCTCAGAAAAAAAACGATGAAAATCATTCAGAACAGTTTTAACGTTTGATTTTTTTAAAGATTTCTTTCTGTAAAACTAAGTTCAGCTTTTATTTAGTCTTATTAATTACATTTCAGAGGCATAGAGATTTACATTTATGTTACTTTAAGCTTATCACAGACTCATTTTCATGAAAAATAAGATGAACTCAGCTGCTTTGCAACCATTTTTAAGACAAAAAGCTAAAATTTTCCATATCCAATCTCATCAATTTACCCTCATTTTATTAGCTTAATTCTGAACTGAACTTTCTGCTCTCTGTCTTCTCCTGCAGGAGTTTTTAGTTGCTGTTGGAGTTAGAGGAGCCACGCTGCAGCACAGAGTGGTCCCTCCTAACCTGGGCTGGTATGATCAGGTAAAACAAACTGCTGAGTCTTTTCAAAAATCACCTTCATGTGTTTACAACAGAGCAACAATTACATATTTAATGTTTTTTATTTATTTATTTCTGTGCAACAGATTGTTGACTTCCTGAATGTTTCTGATGAACCTGTCTTGGGTTACGCCCCTCCCATGTCCGTCACCACCCTGCATTTACACCTGTGGAGTTGCTCTTTAGACTACAGGTTAATTGGAATTCAGATCAGTCGCTAACAATAAGCTGTTTATTACCACTCGGTGTGTTTTCATGTGACACTGTTGATTTCCTGGCAGACCTCTTTACCTGCCGCTCAGGTCGCTGGTGGTTGTGGAAACGTTCAGCATCTCCAGCAGCGTCTCCTTAGACAACTCATCATCAACACTAAGGTATGAAAAGTCTTTAAGGATGCTAATGTTGGAGTAAACATGAAGTTTGGGTAAAGTTTAATTTTGTTTTTTCAGGATCATTTTGGATGAAGCTGCTCTCTTCCTCTCAGACAACAATAAAGCTGTTTCTGTTAATCTAGCACGCGGTAAGTTTACTATTCGACTACGTTGTTTTCGGCTGGTGAAAGAAGTAACACAACGCTTTGGCTGTGATTTTTATCAGACTATGTTCAAGTTGTGGACATGGGAACCCTGGAGCTGAGGATTACAGCTGTCAAGCCTGGAGCAGATGGAAAATTGGTAAGTTTCCATCTTCCAGATGAGATCTGTCACTCAGGAGGGAAAAGAAAATCTCCTTTTCTTTGTCTCTTTGACAGTCGGAGCCCAGGTTTGAGCTGCGCTGCTCCAGTGATGTGATTCACATCAGAACCTGTTCGGACTCCTGCGCTGCCCTGATGAACCTTATCCAGTACGTGGCCAGCTATGGAGACTTGATGCCTCCGGAGGAGCCAGAGGCAAAACGCAGCAGTGTCGCACAAAAACGCAAGGTCAGCTGTGACGTTTTATTCGTTGCTACTGTTAGAGATGGACCAATGAATCAGTCAATACTGGCTACTTAAAAAAATGCTATTAGCTGTGTCTCTATATGCTTAGCTCAGGGATGGGCAACTTAGATGAAGGGGCTGCTATTTATTGTTGACATTACCAGAGAGCTACACAGCTCTGCAGGCTTACCCAAATGTTTAACCAACATACAGTGCAGTAACGTAACATATTTCATGCTCAAATKCATGTATAATTTGTACTCTTGTTTAATAAATACAAAACATTTGAAGCACACAAAAAAAACTTAACACTAGCGAGCTGATTTTCAAGATGCCTTGAGTGCAGACCCCTGCATGGTTGTGGTTCTGGTAAAAAAAAAAAAGTCTTTGTTTTTGTACTTGTAACTTCAGTAAACTTGTCATATTTAGCTTTGTGCAACATGCTTTAGTGGTGACTTATATTTAAATCCTTAATCATATTTAAATATATACATATTGCTATTTTAAAGCACTCAAAACAGCTCCTAGATCTGCTTTAAGTGCTTGTTTAAGTTAGAAAAACAAAATTGGGGAGTGGGGGCTCATTGGTGGGCTGGATGTGGGTCGTAAGTTTCCCATCCCTGACTTAGCTGATTCACAAGTAAGAAGACCAGGGGTGTCAAATTCATTTTCATCTAGGGCCACATGAGCGTTATGGTGGCCCTCGAAGGGCCAGCTGTAATGAACTTTGACGTTTCATGTTTAACTTTGACTAAACACTGTTTTAAAATGTCCTCTTAAACACTGAAAGTAACAGCGTTTCGAAAATGTTGGCGAGAAGGTCAACTTTGAGGCCTGGCCACGCCCTCTTAACATGCTCAAAAACTCACCATTTTGATAACTTTTAACCCCCCACGTCTTAACTGCATAATGACCTAGTTTGAAGTCGATGGGTAAAAATCCCTTGGAGGAGTTCGCAAAAGTTGGACGTGAGGGAAAGTGAAACTTAGCCAAAGATTTAACTTTGACCCAAAATGGCCGACTTACTGATTGTTTTAGGGCATACCTCCAAGAGCTCTTTCACTTTCAAGAGATCTTCCACCTTTTAAATATAAAACAATTTATATTTATTTATTTATTTATTTATTTATTTATTTATTTATTTTTGGGCCACACCGAAGTCACCAGCCTTGAGTTTGACATGTGCTTTAGGCAATAACTTTGTTATTTTAACTGTTCAAATTCTTGTACGAGTTGCTAAATATGCTAAGTTCAACCACTCTGCCGTATTTAGTTTGAGTGTTATTTTTTGACAGACCGAGGTACCTGGCAGGCCCACATCTCAGACTCCACTGCTGGCTGAGACTGAGCAGCAGATGCTGCAGGATTTGATGAGTGAAGCTATGGAAGAGACGGATAGCCAGCAGGCGCCAGGAACTCAACAGAACGGTACAAAGTCACTTAAGGAGATTTTTAAAAACCACACTGCAGATGAAAGTGACCTGAATCAGATGTGTTTATGACAATGTGAACATGATGAAGCAGATGTTTCTTCTTAAAKATATTTTAAAGTTTGTAAGTTTAAGAAAAAACTATGCAAAAACCATCATCTCAGAACTGTTATATTTTAGTGTTTTATTTACATACAGACTATCTTTTAAATTAAATATAAAATACTCCACGAAAACCACTTCCCTAACTGTTTTAACTTTTTTATATAAAAGTGATTGCTTCATTGGTTTTAAATGAACATTGATAATATTTTTATATAAACAGGTTCTCAGGAGGAGCCAATTTATGACCATGATCCGCCTCGCTCAGACCTCTTCCTGTTCCCTGATGAGAGCGGGAATCTTAACCAGGACTTGAGTCCCACCTATCCTATGCTCCCTTCTCCCCTCATCACACCTGCTCCCAGTCTGGCCCAGGAGACGGATGACTTTTGCATTCTGGAAACTCCTGACACCAAAGGAGAGGTTGGAGAAATGCTCATTCACCCTGCTGAGGTCTATAAAACAACACGTTGAGTTSCTGTCGGCGCTGCTTCACTGTGAGTCGCGTTGTTTCAGGATCGAGATCAGGAGCCCGTGGTGAAGCAGCTGACCTCGAATCCTGTGGAAGTCAAAGATGACCACTTCAGTCAGCCTCTGGAAGGGAGCGATTCGAGCCGCGGAGCCGTGAATTTTCCCGTTCCGGAGGTTCGCTACCTCATCCGAGAGATTTCTGTCATTTGGCATCTTTACGGAGGGAAAGACTTTGGGAGGTCCAGCACAGTTTCTCCTGCTAGAAGTCAAGGGTGAGTCATAAGTCCAGAATTTAGTTTAAGCTTTTCTCTGTTTTCTTTGACATTTTCTGAACTACGTATTACCTCATGGTAAGTCCAAACCTTATTTTGCAGTTTTGTTGCAAAAACTAACCTCTCCTCAGGCTCTGGGTCAGACTCCAGGCTCCAGCATGTGATGCTGCGTTCACACCGAACGCCATTTCAGCGTCAGGTTTACCAATCAGAGAGGCTCCATTGTGTGACATTGTGACAGATTTTCCGACAGGACAGTTTCATGAATGATGTCCACTAACCTCAACTATTATAATATTTGTTGGAACTTCTAAATAAGGTCTGAACTTACCAACTACAGTTTCATCATCTTCATTCTCCTCTGGCTCCAACATGTAAGGCTGGATGGACAAGTCTTCTGTTGACTTCTTTAATTAATTTGTAAATAAAAAGTTTCTGTGCTGCTATATAGTCTCAGGGTTGCACATAACATTTTTGGTCTGTTCTCAGGGGAGAACCTGGGGTTATTGCTTGGTGCTCATATTTTCCTTAACTCATTTARCACATTTATCTAGAGGAGTGTCAGGCATTTATTATCGCCCTGTTCTGTTTTATGACGACTCCTATCAGCTGGCTGGAGTTTTTTTATTTAGTTTTTTATTTTTTTACTCTGCAAACATTTTGTAAACTACCTAAGTGGCCAGTGGGCTGACCCATGGGTATAGTATGTCATCTCAAACTGACCATTTCATATTTAAATGTCTGTTAGACTACACATGACCCTGAGATGTAATACTCCTGTAGTTTGGCCTTTTAGATCTTTGGCCTTGTTTAAACCAGCTTTCTACACTCTCCAGACCAAGCAGCAAATATGTCTTTTGCACAGAACAAATGTTTTGTTTGTTAGACTGATTTCTTTTTTTAAAGACTATTTTATACAAAAAGATTATATTTAGATGATATCAGCTCATGTAATCATTTAAAATTATTTATTCTTCGTATTTTATCATTTATTGAATTATATTTATCCCAGAGCATCTGTGTCGCAGTATGATTCTAAATATAAACATGTTTAGCACATCAAGAAACTTGTTCTTATTATAAAATTGCGAAGAATGAAATTTGTGGATCTTTCTGCTAAATTAAAATAACATTTAAAACTCATTCACTTAGAGAACATGGCACGTTTTTATTTTTGTTGTTTTGGATGGGGGGGAGTGACGTTAAACAGAGACTCTGCTTTGATATGGGGCAAATAAATGTTCTTCTGTTACAGGTAAGATGGTTTAGAAGAACTCGAACAGTGAATCTCACAGAAAGACTCGCAGCCTGCACGCACTGAGGCGCGTTCCCATCTCTCCGGAGCAGAGTTTAGTCACTGACGCAAAGTTGGACAGATCAGTTTGATAACAATGCTCTGAACATATATTTAATATAAAGTTAGGTTTTGGAGACCAAAGTCTCTGGTAGTTCAGGAGCAAAGTGCAGGAGGAGATGTCAGATGCTGCTTCCACTGTCTCTGCTGAAAACTGCTCTGACTGAAAGTCCCGCCCTGCTCTGCTCTGATTGGATAAAACAGCTCTGGAGTTCGTCTGATTCGTTGTAAACAGTGTTCGTTTAATCCTTCAGGGCCCCGCTGCCTTCCTCTCACAGAACGACGATCCAGTTACGCCAGTGAGGCTGGATTTTTGTTTGTTTTTGTTTTTAAGAAATCAGGTCACATTTGCGACCCCTGCTAGCTGTTGTTTTCACAATCTTAGGTAYGCAAGGGAGCTCTATGACATTCCATCTGGTGCGCTTTTTCTTTTTGGATCGCGGATGCGCACCTGTGCACCACTTATGTGCAACTCTGATAGTCTTAAACCCCTCTACCAAACTAGAATGGAGGGCTTTAGAAGCTGGAAGGAGGCAGGGTGTGAAGAACTTTGGATTTAAAGAGACAGCCTCAAAACGAGTTGATCTGAGACACCTCAGTAAAGGGGTGAAAGAGGGGCTTGTGGAGTTACAATAATGAGGTGTTTACAACAAAGCATTGCAGTTCCACTTTATATAGATCCCAACTGAATGATTTAAATATGAAAAAGAAAGATTTAAAAGCACGACATGTCTCCTTTACTTCTTCTGTGGATCTTGCAGATCTACTCCTCACAGCTCCCCATCTCAAACTCCAGTCAGACAAGTGAAGACTTCAGGGCGGGCAGGAGGAGGAAGAGGAAGAAACCTTGATATTCTGATAGAAATCCAGCTCAGCAAGGTAATATTTTTTTATTCCCCTGGAATAAACAATCATTAAAAGCTTATCAAATTCACAAATCACTTACAAGACTTCACTAAACTCATCTTTTTGAACGTTCCTCCAGGTGAGGTTTCAGCACGAAGTGTACCCGCAACCCCCTGCGGCGTTACGTCCAACAGCAGACCAGCCCGTGTCCCGGCAGCTGTTTGTTGTGCAGGACTTGGAGATCCGAGACAGACTAGCTACCTCACAGATGAACAAGTTCCTCTACTTGTACTCCAGCAAGGAAATGCCTCGAAAGGCTCACTCCAACATGGTGAGGAAAATGACGTGCTCGTTGATCTCTTCAGGTTTGAGTTTGTTGTAACAGGAGCGCCTCTTGTTTCAGTTGACAGTTAAGGCTTTGCACACGAGTCCCGAGTCAGGTCAGGCTCCTCCAGAGTGCTGCTTACGTGTCTCCCTAATGCCTCTTCGTCTCAATATTGATCAGGTAATAGTCAGATACAGGATTTATGATGGTGTTTGATGTAGAAAATTCTAACATACTGCCTTATATGTTTGAAGGATGCATTATTTTTCATGAAGGACTTCTTCAGCAGCCTTGCTACTGAAGTCGAGTTTTTCTCACCGCCTGCCCAAGAAGGTAAGACCGATGATTCAACGTCTGCTGTTGGAAATTTAAAAAACGATTTGACGACCCCTGATGGGTACTTGTGTCCGCAGCTGTTTGCGTGACCACAAAGAAAGCAGCTGCCCCAGAGATCTCCTGCAGCTTCTCTAAGCACGCCGCCGGCAGCCTGGACCCGGCCCCCATCATCTCAGTTCCTGCTCAAAGGCAGCTGAGCCACAAYGGCTTCTCCACGTTTGGCCGGGAAGAAGCGAACGACGGCGACGCCTCTGCTTCTCCCTTCACGGACCAGCCCATCTTTTTTAGGTCTGAGGGACATTCCACTGTAAAAGAGACTAAAACGACCTCTGTGCTGATCGATGTCTCGTCTTTTTGACAGGGAGTTTCGGTTTACCTCTGAGGTTCCCATTCGACTGGATTACCACGGGAAACACGTGTCAATGGACCAGGTGTGTGTTTAGAGGGAAATGCATTAACTCCACTTTGTCTCATTATTGTTTTATAACGTTTTATCTGAATTTCTTGTTTCAGGGCACATTTGCAGGGATCATCTTAGGGCTGACACAGCTGAATTGCTCAGAGCTGAAACTGAGGCAGCTTTGCTATAGACAGGGGTACGTTATATGAAAATATAAGAAAAATTCATCCATTATGATGTATATTGCTGTATAGGGCTTAAAGGGGACATATCATGCAAAATCCACCTTTTTAGCTGTTAAATCCATTTTATGTGTACTTGGAGTCTCTAGGAGTGCAGAATTTTGTCTCTCCTGGTGCAAAGATATCTTTATATTCTGGTTGGATCATATTTTTCAACCTGTTCAGTTTTCTGTGTTTTCTATGACGTTTTCTGAACTATTACATCAACGTATTTGTGATAGAATTTATAAATAAGTTCTGGACTTACCAACTACTGTTTTGTCGTCTTCATTCTCCTCTGGCTTTGGGTCAGACTCTGGCTCCAACATGTAAGGCTGGATGGATAAGTCTTTCCTTGTTGACATTGTTTAATTAATTTGTAAATAATAATAATAATAGTGTCACTATATAGTCGTAAACCTCTCTATTAAACTAGAATGGACCGCTTAGGGAGCTGGGGGCGGGTTTGAAGCACTTCATTTGGATTTAAAGAGACAACCTCAAAACAAGTTGATCTGAGACACGCCTCAGAAAAGGGGCTTGTAGAGTTACAATAATGAGGAATTCAGACCAAAGCATTGCAGTTCTACTTTATATAGAGCCCATCTGAATGATTTAAATGTGAAAAAGAAGGATTTGAAAGCATGATATGTCTCCTTTTAAATAGTTATTGGTAATATTGTTCACGAGGTAACTCTTGTTTGTGTTTCAGATTACTTGGTGTGGATAAGCTGTTTTCTTATGCAATAAACGAGTGGCTAAATGACATAAAGACCAATCAGCTACAAGGACTACTGAGTGGCGTGGCACCCATTCATACTCTGGTGAAACTGGGTGAGCAGAACACTTCTCAACCCAGGCACAGGATTATAGGATTATCATCAAAGTTGTTTCAATCTAAAACAATATATTTCAAAACATGCTAGAAAAAAGTGTCCTGTTTTTGAGGAATGATGCAGACGCACCAAACCATGAAGATTTTGACACCTTGTGGTTTCTAAATAGATTGATAAGCTCCTGAGAAAATCTTTAACACTGATGTTTTGTTCAGTTCACGGCCTTAGGGACTTGGTTTGGCTCCCTATTGAGCAGTACAGAAAGGATGGCCGGATAGTCCGGGGTTTTCAGCGAGGCACTGCCTCCTTTGGAACCTCCACAGCCATGGCTGCCCTGGAGCTCACAAACAGGATGGTTCGAACCATTCAGGTAAAGTGGTATCCCGCACTTCATAGTAAAAAGCACATACTCAGTCATAGAAAGTGCACTGTCTCTGTGTTCGTCTCTTCAGACTGCAGCTGAGACGGCCTATGACATGGTATCCCCAGTTCCTGATGAGAGAGACACAAAGAGGGTGAAACGTTACTCCCATTACGGCCTGGCTCATCAACCTGTTGACCTGAGAGAAGGTGTCGCCAAAGCTTATACTGTAGTGAAAGAGGTATTATTTACACTATATTTACACAACTGAAATGAAAAAGAGCATGTGGACATAAGGATGTGTTCCTCTACAGGGCATTACAGACACAGCCCTGACCATCTATGACACGGCCACACGGGAGCACGAGCAGCGTGGGATGACGGGAGCTGTCGGCGGCGTTCTCCGCCAGCTGCCACCAGCAGTGGTCAAACCGCTCATCATGGCCACCGAAGCCACCTCCAACGTCTTGGGCGGGATGAGGAACCAGATTCACCCGGATGCACGTCAGGAGGAGTCGCAGAAATGGAGGCACGGGGAGGAGTAATTTTTCATTCGCCGTGCAGTGACTGAAACCTTGACTGTGCTGCAGCCACAGCCAAGAACCTTGTTTGTTTAGTTTTTTTTTAATTTCATTTTGCTTTTGGAAAAAGTAGACAACCAGTTCTGATTGTAAATAAAATAGTGCTCATCTCATGATTGATCTGATGTAAAGTAGCTTACCTGTTCCCTCACAGTGCCTTCATGGTCATCAGCATCATTTGCTTAAACAAAGGGAAATGAATATAAATACATTTTTAAGCACTACTTCATATCCACATGTCCTGATGTGGCTTATGTTCTGTCAAATGTAAAAGCACAACKGTGACAGATGATCTTTCACTTTAGCTCTTTTTTGAATAGCTCTGTTCAAATATAGTGTTAGAATTTCTTTTTAGTGTCTACAAACACTAGTGTTAATGTGTAATTAACCTTAATTTATTACATGTACTTTATGTTAGCTGTTTACTGTAAATATTCTAAATTTGTACCATTTCATGCAAATATTAGATAACAGTAACAGAACCTGAACATGTCAAAGATGTGTGAAGTTATTTAATCAGTATGTTGAAGGGACTGGACGGGTCACTTGTCCCAAATAAATTCCTAAAGGGATGTTTATAACGCGTGTGCTGCGTTAAGTTTCTGTTGTGAAAGTCCCTGCAGCTAACATTTTCAAATTCTCAAAACAGTGCATCTACTTGATAAGTAAAGTCTTAAAATCCTGCTCGTTTGAATACTGATGTATTTGTGCTGAAGACATTTGATATGCATACAGTATTTATGTAAAAGGAGTAATATAAGATGCACATGTATAGTTGATAAAAGAAACTGTATCAAAAACATAAAAGGGAAAGTAAAGTGGTTAAACTCACAAGTGTGGTTTTTGCTTGTTTTATTTTGAAAGCTGCCAAATAAGTCGGAAGTAGGTGACAACAGACCAAGTTTTTTTTTTAACCACACCACTGTTAAAATATTGTTTAAACAGTGATAAGCATATTCGGTGATTTAAGTATTATTATCATTATTATTATAATTATTATTTTTTGTGATTTAAGTATTTTCGACGACGGATTAAGTTTGGAAGAAAATGAGCCTCCGTGCGCGCTCAGCTGGACTGACGTTTTGTGGGTGCGCGCACGCATCTTTCGCGTGCGAACTAGTCCCCATGTTGCTGTATGTTATTGGTAAACCTCTTTTAAAYGGTCTGTGTCCCTTGTAATGCATCTATATGAAATTTTGTATTGATTCCAGAAGTAAAATCCGAAGTGACTCATCTGGTAGAGATCTCTGTGTGGGGATACTTGGTCTGGGTCACCTGGGGAAACAGCTGCTCATCAGCCACCAGCAATCCAGACACAGCAGGTACTAAAATTTCAAAATAAAAAATTGTCAGGAATRCACCAAATGTCCAAGAAGTTAGCATTTTCTTCTTTTGGCTTTTTCTTTGTGTTTTGGTATGTACTATTTATGTCATAATCAAAGAATTTCAAAATGCAAAATGTTAATTTTCTGAGAAATTGCAGTGTGAGTGCTGCATGGCTGGTGAAAATGTCTGAAGAAGCTGAAACAGGAAAGCAGTGTGTGAAAGCTGAGTCAGCACTCATCAAAACAAGTCAAAATTAGATTAAACTTTTCTTCTACAGACTACTTTTTTACTGAGTGGCGCACACTGATTTTTACCTGAAGTCTTTTTAACACACTGTAAACACACCTGTATATTCTGAATCTTTAAAAACAGGATCATGGGTAAAAAATAACATTTCTGTGGTTTTCCTTTATACAGAGCTTTTGTTCTCATCTACAAGTTTGAGTTCAGCTTGGATTACATGTTTTGTTGGTTTTTGATCTTGGACAGCAAACCACGTATTCTTCTCGTTGTCATTTTTTGTACAACTATATTGTTTTTTAATGCATTAATATCTGAAGTGCCTTCTTCGTACCATTGACATGTATTAAAGAGCACTTATATATAATGTATGGTTTATTAGGAAGCAAAATGCCTTCTTTCAGAACAACTTCAKCCGCAGATTTTGAAAATTGCTGTATCATGTTGACCTTTACTGTAGGCGCTCAGGCTTGTGAGGTAGATCAGAGGATGTTGATCCTGGCTGCTGATTTGAATTTTTCCTATGCCCTGATCCTCAATGGAGGCAGTTGCAGCGACTAATCCCGCTAGCTGCTTGCCCACTGCTGCTAAGTGTGCTTTAATATTGCTGTTTTCACATAGAAAGGATAAGCTTCAGAGATTMTGCCTTTCCCAATCAGAGGATTTGTGTTAAAGCATCATAAAGGCCAGTTAATGGAAGTCTTTTTCAGTTCTGCTAATAGGTGACCATGTTTTCTACTTGTACACAGGGTTGTAGTTCAGGCTCAGAGGAAACTCACACAATGTCTGCAAGAATCTGTATGTCCTGTAGTTTTCATATTGATAAGTGTGTGTCGGCGCTGTTTAAATGATTTTAGTTTTAGCTTTCCTGTTTACAAGGATAGACTTTAATGGATTTAGCCATTTCCTCAAAATGGAACAGATTTTGTTGTTACAGTCAGCTCACGCTTACTTCCTTGTAAACAGAAAAAAAAATCAACATTCTGTGTGTGCTTCAGAGGACAGCGTCCTGACAGGAGTGGAGCATTTATTGGACAACAGCAGGCTGACACTTTGGGCAGATGTTCTTTTCCTGTGCTGTTTGCCTTCTCAGCTCCCCAGAGTTTACGCTGATCTCCGCTCTCATCTGTCCAAGCGCTGCCTGGCGTACAGTCTCCCCTCCGCTGGGCCTGGCACCAGGTAATCAGACTCACGCAACAAACTTTTACTGTTGGGGCATTGCAAACTATTTAACTTCTTTTATTTCAGTTTAGCTGAACGTCTCGGACACAGTTTTGTTCTGAAACCACAGTATCGATTTGAAAATTGTGTCACTGCAGACGTGTGGCTGACCTGCTCTTATTTGACCGCAGCTTTGTCAGATCCAACACTGAGAGGCAACATGTCTTCTCACTATGAATGTTTTGTTTTAGATACTTGCTCAAACGTCAGCACATTTGATGTTGTRTGGTAGATTTTTATGTTAATATATGATATATGATATATACAACTACAGCAGGGGTGTCAAACTCCAGTCCTCGAGGGCCGCTATCCTGCATGTTTTAGAGGTTTTCCAGCTCCAACACACCTGATTCAGTGATTGAATTAACTCTTCAAATTGGGCAGAAGCCTGTTAATTWCCCAGCGATCAAAATCTGGTGTGTTGGAGCAAGAAAACCTCTAAAACATGCAGGATAGCGGCCCTCGAGGACAGGAGTTTGACACCCCTGAACTACAGTATATATCATATTAATTAATTCATATTGATAAACATGTTCTCATGTGACTACTGACCCTAATGTTCAATTTGTAGTTGGCTTTACTTTGGATTTGAACTGGGTATGTGGAGTACTGTACAGCCTGTTTGGGATCCGGTGAGGCTCTTTCTCTAAATAACGACATACTCAAAGACTAGATTAACAATGAGCGATTAGAGGCAAAGAGTTTCATCAGCTCCTCTTGTGTCACTTCTTCATCCAGATGAGTGAGTAGTTCAAGGTTACAGAGGTGTATATTTACAGCGGGTAAAATAAGTATTCAACACGTCAACATTTTTCTCAGTAAATATATTACTAGAGGTGCTAATGACATGAAAT